GATCCCCAGCTCACGATGCCAACCTGAATCCACAGACCTCTCTTTTCACAGGCCAAGGGGCCACCGGAGTCACCCTGGGGAGCGGCGTGGGTGAACCAGGCCTGGCGGGGCAGGGGGCAGGTGAGGGGCTGGCGGAGAGGCAGGGACAGCTGTGGCGACAGCAGGAGGGGCCGTGGAGCCGGGCAGACCGGGTGCACATCCTACTCCCCACCCCGGAAGCGAACGAGCCTGTTTCTGCATCTGCAGAGTGGGCATCGGTCTCAAATTGCCCCTTTCCCTCCCCCCCCCCCAGGGGTCAGGTGAGAATCAAAGGTGATACAATGAAGGCAAAACAATTAATGCTTGTTGTACAAGCTGGAGAAATAAGGCCCATGGTTGTTTTCTCATGAATAAACTCGGGTGGGTTGGTGGGCACCAGGGGGGTTGCTCCCAGGCCCAAGGTGGGGAGGGGTGGTGCCCGGGTCCAGCAAGGCCCTGGTGGGGGCAGGCGTACTCACTTTGCAGGCGTCACGTTGGCCATTCTCAGAGCCAGCACAAATCATGTCATCCGGGTCGTAACGGAGGAAACCGGGACGTCGGAACAGGAAGTCGCACCTGGAGTTGTTTATGATGGACACCTGTGCTTCCTGGAGACGGTAAGGAGGCGGCAGAACTGCCAGGGATTGAGGGTGAGAGAGGGGAAGAGGACCGCTTCGGCCCCTCCCCTGCCATCTGGGACAGGGGGAGCGTGGAGGGGGGTGGGCTCCCCGGGGCCCCCACAGGGTCCGGGACATCGCTCTCGATGACGCCTCCGCCCCCAACCCAGCACCCTTCACATTATGGGCGATGAACGAGGTCACAGAAGGACCCAAGGGATGGGCGGGCGGTCACCGCTTCTCCCTGAAACTCAGTGTCCCCGTCTGGAGAACGAAGATGACAGCCCCTAGCTGGGCCACCGGGGAGGTCCCTCAGCCACAGCACGCTCAGGGGGCAGGGCTGACACCGACATGGTGGAGGATTAACATACTTCATCTGCAGCATCCAGGCTGAAAACGCTCCAGAGTTTTTCTCCAAGTTTATTTATTTTAGAGACAGAGAGAGAGAGAGAGAGAGAGAGAGAGAGAGAGAACGCAAGCAGGGGAGGCGCAGAGGGAGACACACACACACACACACACACACACACACACACACAGAGAATCCGAAGCAGGCTCCAGGCTCTGAGCTGTCAGTGCAGAGCCCCACGCGGGACTTGACCTCACGGGCCGCGAGATCGTGACCTGAGCCGAAGTCGGACGCTTCACCGACTGAGCCACCCGGGTGCCCCGAAAATGCCCCAGATTTGACAAAAGGTATGAATCCCTGTCTTGAGGACGCTGAGCAATTCCCGAGCAGGATAAACACAAAGAGATCTACGCGGAGATACATTTTCATCAAAGTATCGAAGGGGAGACTCCGGGAGACAGCAAGAGAGAAGCTGCATGCGTGTCACATCAAAGATCCCCACCAAGATTAACAGCCACGTTCTTCTCAGATACCCTGGAGGCGGGGGTGGGGGGTGGGGGGGGGGGGCTGCAGGATGACACATTCAAAGGGCCGAAAGAATCAAACAGGCGACCGAGAATATTCTGTATCTGTATCAGAATTCTCTATCAGGCTGTCCTTCAGAAAATGAGGCGGCGATGAACAGATTCTCAGATAAACAAACGCCAAGAAGGTTCGTCCCTAGCAGACCTGCCTTACTAGAAACAGAAAAGGGAGGAAGGGAGGTCTTCAGGACCCTGGCCAGTGTCCGTTCATAGGAAGAGAGGGCGCTGGTAAAGGTGACCACAGGGGTAAATAGGAGAGCCAGGACTATTATGGCTTTGGTTTATCACTTCTTTCCCTTCCTTTATAATTTAAGACACGTGCATACAACAATTCTAAATCTCTGAGGAAAGAGCTGCGTAAGGAACGGAAGTGAAGCTAAGTTGCTATTAATCCGACATAGATTGTTATAAACTTAACTTGTTGGGGCATCTGGCTGGCTCAGTTGGTGAAGCGTTTGTTGACTTTGGCTCAGGTCATGGTCCCAGGGTCGTGGGATCAAGTCCCACGTCAGGCTCTGTGTTGAACGTGAAGCCTGCTTAACATATTCTCTCTCTCTCTCTCTCTCTCTCTCTCTCTCTCTCTCCCTCTGCCCCTCTCCCCGACTTTCGCACTCACTCTCTCAACTTAAAAAAAAAATCAAGTTTAAAAAAAATTTTTAAACAATAAATTTAAGTTGTTAATCGTAATCCCCAGGTCAACCACTAAGAAAATACACAGAACGCGAAATGGGAAGGTAATCAACACAGACCACTAATAAAAATCAATGAAACACAAAAAAAGGAAATAAAAAAGTATGAAGTACAGATATAGATATTGAAAGATGTGACAAGATATAGAGAAGAAATAGAATAATGGTAGAAGTAAATCCTTACTTATCGGTAGTTAATTTTAATGGAAATGAGTTAAATGGATTAAATTGCAATTAAAAGGCAGAAATTAGCATGAATTAAAAATAGAGAATCCAGGGTCCCCTGGGTGGTGCAGTCGGTTGTGTGGTTGAGTGTCAGACTTCATTTTGGCTCAGGTCACAATCCCATGGTCGTGGGATCGAGTCCCACTTTGGGCTCCACACTGAACGTGGAGCCTGCTTAAGATTCTCCCTCTCTCTCCCTCTGCCTCTTTCCCTGCTCGCACTCTTTTTCTCTAAACACAATTTCAAAAAAGATTTTATTATTTTTTTAAATGTTTTATTATTTACTCTTGAGAGAGAGAGAGAGGCAGACAGACAGAGAGCAAGCAGAGGAGGGGCAGAGAGAGGGAGACACAGAATCCGAAGCAGGCTCCAGGCTCCGAGCTGTCAGCACAGAGCCCGATGCGGGGCTCGAACTCACAAGCCATGAGATCGTGACCTGAGCCGAAGCCGGACGCTCAACCGACTGAGCCACCCAGGTGCCCCTCAATACCCAACTTTTAATAATGAATAGTATCAAGGGCACTTGGGTGGCTCAGTCGGTTGAATGTTCGACTTCGGCTCAGGTCACTATCTCACGGTTTCATGAGTTCGAGCCCCACATTGGGCTTCATGTTGACAGCTCGGAGCCTGGAGTCCACCTCAGATTCCGTGTCTCCCTCTCTCTCTGCTCCTCCCCTGCTTGTGTTCTGTCTCCCTAAAATAAACATTTAAAAAAATCATGAATAGAATCAGAAAGATCAACAAGAAAACAGAAGACCTGAGTAACACTATAAATTAACTAGACCTAACAGAAGTTTACAGAACCACCTGCCCCAACAGTAGAATCCACACCCGTCACAGGTACACATGAACACTCTCCAGGATAGACGGTATGTCAGTCCACACAATAAGGTGCAATAAACTAGAAAAGACTGAAATCATACAAAACATCTTCTCCAACCACAGTGGACTGAAGTTAGAAACCATAAAAGAAGACAGACTGAAAAATGTGTAAATATGTGGAAATTCAACAACATATTCTTTACCAATGGATGAAAGAAAAATTCAAAACGCTTTGAGACGAATGAAAATGAACACATGACACAGCAAAACTTGCGGGATTCAGTGCAGGCAGTTCTCAGAAGGGAATAAACGTATTGCTGGAAATGTCCACAATAATACAGGAGAAAAATCTCAAACCAATATCCTGATTTACGGCTTAAGGGACTAGAAGCAAGCTGAGTTCAAAAGTAGAAGGAGGGGTGCCTGGGTGGCTCAGTCGGTGAAGCGGCCGACTTCGGCTCAGGTCACGATCTCGCGGTCCGTGAGTTTGAGCCCCGCGTCGGGCTCTGTGCTGACAGCTCAGAGCCTGGAGCCTGTTTCGGATTCTGTGTCTCCCTCTCTCTGACCCTCCCCTGTTGATGCTCTATCTCTCCATGTCTCAAAAATAAATAAAACGTTAAAAAAAATTTTTTTTAAAAAGTAGAAGAAAGAAATAATAGAGAATAGAGGAAATCAAGGTAGGGAATAGAAAAATAGAGAAAATCAACAGATAAACCAAAACTTGGTTCTTTGAAAGATCAACAAAACTGATTATGAAAGTGGGGACATAACTACAGACTTTATAGCAATAATGAGGACTATAAGGGAAACAGCTATACCCCAAATTAGATCAGGCGGATGAAATGGACAAAATCTTAGATAACACAAACTACCAAAACTCACTCAGGAAGAAACGGAAAGTCTGAACACACCAATAAGAGATGAAATCTGTAGTCAGGGACCTCACAATGAAGAAAAGCCTTAGGCCATATGGCTTCAGTGGTGAATTCTACCAAACCTCTGAAGAAATGAACACCAATCCTTCTTAAACTCTTCCAAAAAATCGGAGAAGAAGGAATACTTCCTAACTCATTCCATGGGACCAGCATTATGGGGGCACCAAATCCCGGACAAGGACATCGCAAGAAAAAGAAACAACAGACCAATATCCTTAGTGCAATAACAGTAATAATAATATGTGTATATATATATGCAAAAGGTATATATACAAAAAATACATATATGCAAACATTCTCAACAAAACGCTAGCAAACGGAACCTAGCAGCATAGCAAAAGAACTGTATACCATGAGCAAGTGAGATTTATCCCATGAATGCAAGCGCGGTTCAACATACAAAAACCAATCAATATAATGTACTACAGACATTAATAGCATGAAGGAAAAAAACCCACAGGCTCCTCTTAGCGGATGTTGGTAAAGCAGTTGACAAAATCCAAATTCCTTCATTAGAGAAACATTCAATAAGCTAGGCAGGAATAGAAGGCACTTTTTCAACACGATAAACACTAGATGTGAAAAACCCACAGCGGACATCACACTGAATGGGGACAGGCGGGAAGCTTTCCCCGAGATCAGGGACAAGATGATGATGCCAGTTTTTGCCATTTTATTTAACATTTTTCTGGAAGTTCCCATCAGGGCAATTAGGCAAGAAAAATAAAACACATCCAAATTGGAAAAGAAGACGTAAAACTATCTCTATGCATACATGACATGATCATCCATAGCTACATACATACGTACATATGTATATAGACGTGTGTGTGTGTGTGTGTGTGTGTGTATACATGAAATCATAATGAATACATTTAAAGAGGGAGAGGGTTAATAAATGAAGTCAGCAAAATTACAGGACCCAAGATCAAACCACAAAAGTCTGTTATTCTACTGGGGCACTTGGGTGGCTCCACTGGTTGAGCGTCTGACTTTGGCCTTTGGCTCAGGTCACGATCTCACAGTTCGTGGGTCCGAGTTCCGTGTCGGTCTCTATGCTGACAGCTGAGAGCCCAGAACCTGCTTCAGACTCTGTGTCTCCCCCTCTCTCTCTCCCCACCCTCTGCTTGTGCTCTCTCTCGCTCTTAAAAATAAACATTAAAAAAAAAGAAGTTTCATTTACAACGCATCAAAAATAAGAAAATAGTTAGGGATAAATTTAATTGAGGCGATCAAAGACTTATTAACAAAAACTACAAAACACTGTTGAAAGAAACGGAAGACCTGAATACATGGAAATATATCCCTTATTTATGGATTGGAGATACAATATAATGAAGGTGGCAATGCTTCCCCAAAGCAACCTACAAATTCAATGCAATCCCTTTCCAAACCCCAATGCTCTTTTTAGCAGAAATTGACAAATTGGCCCTAAAATTTATATGGAGTATCAACAGGCCCAAATAACTAAAACACTACTGAACAAGTAGAACAAAGTTAGAAGACTCACACTTCCTGATTTCAATATATTATAAAGTTACAGGTATCAGACAATGAGGTCCTGCTACAAGGATGAACATACACACCAATGGAGTACCATTCAGAGTCTAGAAATAAGCCCACACATCTACAGTCAATCAGTAAGGATGCTGAGACAATTCAATTGGGGAGAGGAGTCTCTGTGACAGACGGTGCTGGAGCAACTGGATATCTAAAGGCAAAATAATGAAGTTGGACCCCTACCTCACACCATGTACAAAAATCAACTCAAAATGGATGACACATAAATATAAGAGCTAAAACTATAAAACTCTGCAAGAACATGCAAGTAAATCTTCATGATCTGGAATCTGACAGTGGTTTCTTAGACCTGACATCAAAAGCACAAGCAACGAAAGAAAAATAATTTGAGGTTGATCAAAATTTTGCAAATTTTGTGCATCAAAAGATACTAGCAAGAAAGTGCAGCAAAGAGAGCCACACAATGGGAGAAGATATTTGCAAATCGTGCATCTGATGAGGGTTTAGTATCTAGAATACATAAAGAACTATTACAACTCAACAACAAAGACAACTCAAATTAAAAATGGGCAGGGGCGCCTGAGTGGCTGAGTCGGTTAAGTGTGCGACTTTTGATTTCAGCTCAGGTCATGATCTCACGGTTCATGAGATTGAGCCCTGCATCGGGCTCTGTGCGAACAGTGCAGAGCCTGCTTAGGATTCTCTCTCTCCCTCTCTGCCCTTCCAATTGCTCTCTCTCTGAAAATAAATTTTAAAAAACGTTAAACATAGAATTACCACGTGATTCTGCAAGTGCACTCCTAGATATATACACAAAAGAACTGAAAAGAGGTGTTCAAATAAAAATTTGTATATGAATGTTCATAACAGCTCTATTCACCGTATCCAAAAGGCAGAAACAACACAAAAGCCCATCAATGGAAGAATGGATGAATACATTGTGGTCTATCCATAGGATGAACTATTATTCATCCATAAAAAGGAAGAAAACTCTGATACATACTAGAACACCCATGAATCTCTAAAGCACCACGCTACATGAAAAAGGCCAAACACAGAAGGTCACATAACGTATGAATCCATTTACCTGAAAAATCCAGAATGGGTATATCCATCAACACAAAAGGCTTCTTAGTGGCTGCCAAAGGGCTGGAAGGAGAGGGTAAGGGGGAGTGACTGGTCAGTGACTGTCGGATTTCCTCTGGGAGGGATGAAAATGTTTTGGAACTTGATGGAGTTCACGGTTATACACCGTGAACATACTAACTTAAATGTCACGGGATTGTATACTTGAAAATGATTAATTTAAAAAAATAATAAAATGATTAATTTAGGGGCACCTAGGCAGCTCAGTCAGTTACGTGTCCAACTCCTGATTTTGGCTTGGGTCACAATCTCGTGGTCGTGGGTTCGAGCCCCACATTCGGCTCGACACTGACGGTGTGGAGCCTTCTTGGGGGGCTCTCTCCCTATGTCTCTCCCCCGCTCATGCTCTCACTCGCTCGCTGTCTCTCAAAATAAATAAAACTGTAAAAACTTTTTTAAAAAAGGAATAAAATGATTAATTTAACATTACGTGAACTAAACCTCAAAGAACGGGGTACAGGTACGTGTTAGACCACACATGAACCTTGAATATGCTGAGTGAAGGAGTCAGGGACAGAAAACCACACGCTGTGGGACTCTATTTCTATGAAATGTCCACAGTCCGGAAATCCCGAGACAGAAAGCAGCCTGGGCCCAGCTGGCCTCCCTCTCACTGTGGCTTCGGGCTCACAATCTCTGGAAGGCAGAGGGAACGGGGTGTGGGGACAGGAGGTCCTGCCCTGGCGGGGGGGGGGGGGGGGGCAGGCACTGCTGGGCAGCCCCCAGGAGGGACCCAGCTGCACAGAGACCCAGGTGGGGGCTGCTGAAGCCGCTGTGGACGGAACAGACGGCGGAGCCCGCAGCCCCCCCCGCCCCACCCCCCACCTGCCCCCAGCCTCACCCTGACCTTCTTCGATGTGCCCCCAGCCAGTCACCCAGCAGTCAGCATTGTTCTGGAACTCAGAGGAAGAGGCCACAACACAGATGGGCTGGATGTACTTATTGTAGGTGACGGAGGAGGACAGCTTCAGCAGGGCGATGTCCTTGAGTGAAGTCCCACTGAACTGGGGATACACGACGATATCCTTCACCCTGTACCGATGGTAGAAGGTCCACAGTTTCCAGGATGTTGGCCTGGAGGACAGCTCACCAAACTGAGCCGTCCACTTCGAGGGATCTTTGTGTCTGGCAAGGGAGGAGAGAGCAGGTAAGGGTCCTCAGAGGAGGGAGGGCCCCCTGAGCACGCAAGGGGGAGGGGAGACATTCCCTGAGGCGGGGCCGCAGGGGTGCTGCTAGGGCTCATCCTGGACACGGTTAGCACTTCCTCTCATGGGCCACTGCGCCCAGTGTAGAAATGATGGCAGCCCAGAGAAGATGGGCCAAAATCCCAGAACCCGGGGACCGGGGAATGCGGGGATGGGCAGGAAGGGCCTTTCCCTGAGGTCGGATCTGGCTGGTCACTCAACCGGCCTGTCACCTCCCACAGCAATCCTAAAAAACAATGAACAGGGCACCCTGGTGGCTCAGCCTGAGTGTCCAGCTCTTGATTTCGGCTCAGGTCACAATCTCAAGGTTTGTGGGTTTGAGGCCCGCATCGGGCAGACTCAACTTGGAGCCTGCTTGGGATTCTCTCTCTCTCCCTCTCTCTGTTCCTCCCCCCATTGTGCTTGTGCGCGCTCTCGCTCTCTCTAAAACTTAAAAAAAAAAGAACAGATGAACAGGACTAGGCAGGTGCGGTCAAAATAGCTTCCCCGAGCCCACGGTCCTGGCAGGCCAGGCTCTGTGTCCAGAGCTCGCCCACCTCGGTCCGCCCC